AACTATAAACTGAATGGATATAGCAGAGCCACATGCATACAACAGATAATTAATGGGAAGGGACAATAGTTGTTGGCATTATCCATCCTGCAAACTTTGACCATCTTATTGGTTTCTAAAAAGTAACTAGGATGAAAAGATGAAAAAGCAAGATGCTGATGCTGAACGGTGAGCCACGAGATTGGGTGGAAGATCAGGAAAGGATGGAAGCATAAGGAAGCTATTCAAAACACTCCCTGTAAAGAATGGACATTATTTTGGTGGCTAAGGTAGGCAGTCCAAATCAGGTCTCACCAGCTATTAAATATAATTAAACAGTTTATAATGCAATGTCCTTTAATGGCTTCTAAAGTCTCTCCCTGAAAGTAAGTACTATGCTTATCATCACTGCCAGAGTGGCTGATTTCATAGCGCACTGCCTGTCGTTAAAGACAGCATTGCAAATACCACTCAGTAATATTTTTGGCAGGTCTCTGAGATGCCTGCAGCAATAATCTTCAATGTAATTTCCCCCACCCTCTGCCTTCACTCTCTTCCTTTCATTATGAAATCAGCGTGTGGGGATGTGTGCAAAAAGAATGAGGAGGGTGGAATCAAAAGCTATGATTTTGCTAAACACAGAATAATTCGGAACCGTAAATTAGGCTATTCACATCCAAGGGTGGAGTTATTTCAATGCCAGGTTTACTAAAGTTGACCTTCAACATGGATAAGATTGGACCGACGTGTTTTCATCATACAAAGTTTGAACAGACATTGTGTGGCAAGAGCTAAAACATGTGATTTGCTAATGTGCAGCTCCATATTTTGGAGGAACCTGGGACAGGGCGGCCTCAATAGGACAGCCCCCTTGGTGAGTCTACCTTCTCACTGCCATTGTCTCCAGAGGCTGCTGCCCTTCGACCTCCCTTTTTGTAGTTAGGGCTGCTTGCTTGAGAATGCAGTATACAAGTGGAAGATGTACGACACCTTCAGGTCCATGGTCCATGGCTTAGCCGTGCAAGTGCGGATGAAGAATAGCCATTGTAACATCAAGTGTTTAAAAAAGGGAATCAAGGGGGATCAAGAATTGGTTGAAAGCAGTATTAAAAATAGGATTACTAAGTATGTTAAATGATAACCCCTGTTGAAAAAAAAATCAACATGGCTTCTGCAAAGGAAAGTCCTCTTTCCCTAACTGGAGAGCCCGTGTGGTTACAGTGTGGGTTGAGGACCTGAATCTGCATTCTAGCCTGCACTGAGCCATGGCGCTGACTGAGTGATTTGGGGTTGGTCACAGACTCTCAGACTAACCTACCTTGCAGGATTGTTGTTGTGAGGATAAAACAGAGCTAAATAAGCCTACATGGATTCCTTCCAAGAGGGGGAAAAAGTGGCATATACATGCAGTGAAATAGTTAGAAAAGAATGAGAACCTCAAAGGGTATGTTGAGAGACGGAATACACACATGGTGATCCAGCAGACATTTTGGACTTCCAAGAAGCCTTTGACAGATTCCCTCACCAAAGACTTTTGAGCCAACTTAGCAGCCATGCAAAAAGAGGAGAGGTTCTCTTATGGATCAATAGCCAGTTAAAGAACAAAAGCGGAAAGCATGAATAAAGGGTAACATCTCCCAATGGAAGGATGTAAATAGTGGGCTCCCACACAGATCCAGATGGCCAGTGCTTCTCAGCTGATTCATAAATGATCTGGAATCAGAGTGAACAGTAAACTGGCTGAGGTGGTTGTCACCAAATTATTTAGAGTGGTTAAATCAAAATGGGATGGTGAGGACCTCCGCAAGGAACCCTCCACAGCAAAACGCAGCTGTACAAGCATGTTGTGATTGTAATGAGAAGAAGCAAGTTCGGGGAGCTCTCTTCAGGGCCCTGCTGGGATATGGATTCTCAGTGGGTGGTTGACCGTACCTACACTTGATGCTGCCGTATTTATAGGATTTATAGAAGTTGTTTAACAAATAAGCAAAAATTAAGGTGAAATTGAGGGAGGATGTGTCATGAGGAATAAATACGAGACATAGCAAACATAAGTTTATAATCCCCTTTATGGGTGCTTTGCAGTTTGCACTTCCGTCTGTTTACAGGTCTTGTGGGAAATGTGGTGATGATGAATTCTGAATTCTTTGCTCAGCTACATTAACTGGGTGGTCTGCTTGTTTTATAAAAACAACCGGGTGCCTCAGGATTTTATCAAGATCTATCCATGTTCCTAGTCTCTGTCCTAAAATTCAAAGTGTCTCGTAATTCTCTTTGTTCTTGTGATCACCGCATGCAGTTTTCTAAAGCAGTCAGCTGTGAAAGTAGTTAATGTGCAAAAGTCTTTGTCCTCAAAAACACCCAGTAGTTGTTTTAGAGACGAATCATCAGGAAGACAGATCTGGGGGGGGCGGGGGAGATTTGTAAAGAAAGACATGCTCTTGCAGAAATCCAGTACATCCTACCTGCATGTAGGACGAAGTACTTTGGGAGCAGCACAAAGGAGACAAGATTAAGCTTGCTTTAATTGGGTAGATTGGGCAGCTTTTCTATTTTAAGTGAAGGAATTCACAATTGCTAGCATTTACCCACATCATTTCTATGCTCTATGCGGGAGCAAGAAAGTGTGAAGGTAGCACACACTGAGCGAAACAATGCCTGCTCGAATCTTTTCACACACATGATGAAATGTGTACCTGTGAGAAATACCTTAAAAATCCCCTGGTAAGCCAGAGAAATATCCCATTTCTCAGCAACTGACATTGGGAGACTTACTTCTAAGTAAACATACATGGGATGTTTATTTACCATAATGCCTAAATTGGGCTATTGTATCATGAGTCCTTGGAGGGCCTGTACTATGTGAATCAATTATGATGTCTTGTGTGGGTATAATCCTCTGTAGAAATCAAAAATAGTTTCTATAACATCTTTTCCTGGTGCTGTGGGCTTGCATTCCACAATAGCTCTGTGAAGCAGTGGGAGTGAATTAAAACATTTTCTGAAGCGTGGGGTGAGCATCTGCCTCTGAATACATCAGATCATACTCTGCATTTGAGAAAGGTTAACCCATAAGATTTAAATCTCATGGATCTGTGTTTGGTGTACCTCCAAATTAATAGCTTCCCTTTTCTTTCATGCTCTGAAGACACTTATATGGGAGGAATGGTCCTTCTATTATTCTTGCCAGTGCTACAGATTTTATGTAGCCATTTATTTCAGAAGGAATAAATGGAATAAGTAGAACCAACAATAGTAGGAATTAGTTTAAGGTTTAGTCACCCCTTATTATACTTAAACTATCCTACTATAACCTCAGTCATGATGATGAATATAAAAGTGTACTTCACCCCCTCTACCCTGCCCATCTCCTTTCAATGTATCTTCATATGTTTATGTAAGGATCGCAAAACTAGTAGTAAAACCAGTGAGGTTTCTCCAAAGGGAGCATGTTCCTCTTGTTGTTGGAATTTCAGTCACGGTGCCTGAAATTTAATCCTTAAGTACATTGCTCTCTCTCTGTGTTACCTGCTCCTTCTCCATAGGTTTGCAGGTAGAGGCTGGATAGTGAAGGTGTTCCTCTCAGTGATAATTGCATGCCGGGACTGTGGAAACCTTAATCCTGGGCTCAGACAACATGACACGCCATAGTGGCACAGAGAAACCATGGAATAAACCATTGTTTCTAATCATGGGTTCTAAATTTACCATGGAGAAATACCGCAAGTGGATTCAGACAACAGAACAGACCAATAATGGTAAAAGACCATCACGGCTTGCTATGCTGTCTGAACCCAGCCAATGAGTGAGCGGGGTGTTTTATTCTAAGGTCCACCTATGTCTGAAGCCAGTTTTAGGAGAATTGCATGCAGGGGAATCCATGCAGAAACTGGAAATCCAGAATGTTGGAAACAAGGCAATATTCCTTTTTGGGATGAAGTATTTCACTGCAGGGTCTCATTTGATTATTGCAAGGCAAGGCACAACCTGCATGATGGACAGGGGGGAAAAAAGCCTTAAATGCCCAATATTCCCCAGCTAGCAAGGCTGGTTGATGGATGTTCAGCGTTGTTGGACTTAATGGGTTTATATCCCACTTTATTCCTCCTTCAAGGAACCCAAGCTGGCTTAAGCAGTCCTTCTCTCCATCATTCCCATCTGGATATGCAGAGACTCGTAGCCTTAAACTGCAATCTTGTACACAGTTTTTATGGAAGAAGTGATGCCCCATCAGACTCAATATATTAGGTCTCATGGGACTCTATGGGACTGACTTCTGATAAATAAGCCTAAGGTTCCACTGTTAGCTGAAGATGTGGGCTAATAGGGGAACAATGACAGGGGCAGGCTTGCGCAGGAAGGAAAAGCGGCGTGACTGTATGCTGTCTCATCTATACCCACGCCTTCTTTGTCAATATTGCCTAAGGATGCAGTGTGCGCCCCCTCCACTGTTTCAATGACTGTCCAAGTACGATCCCTTGGAACACAATGAATAATAATTTGCTTTTTTAAACAGAAGCCGAATATTAAAGGAGCACAACTCGAATAATGAATGGGGATCCACAGCCCCCGACTCGCATCTCGTCCCTGACATGTCGGCTTCCCGCCTTTTTCTCCCCGTCGGCGAACGCCCCCTCCCCCGCCCCCCGCCCAACCGTCACTGAGGCGCTCCCCCCTCCCCAACCCTTCTTTCATATCTACCCAGCCAATCCCCGCACGAAACGCCTCTTTCGTCACGGATTGGCCCCGCCCCGCTCCCGCTCCCTGTGGCTGGCGAGAGAGGGGTGTGGCTTGGCAGCGGAGATGGATTCCTGCTTCTAAGTCCGGCCGTGGAAAGCCGGGGTGCGCGCGGGCGCGCGCTGTGGGAAGCCGGGGGGTGCGCGCGTGCCTGCGCGCGTGTTCGGGGCCGGGCGTTCAGAGGCCCCAGCCGCGGGCCGCGCTTCGGAGGGCTCTTGCCTGCGCGCGCCTGCGCGGTCGCTCGCCCGCCCGCCGGGTCCGGCTCTGGCTCTGGCTCTCGGTTGTCGGCGGCGCGAGGGCTGCTTCCCCTCGAGGCGGGAGGGGCGGGTCGCGCTCTTCGCTCCGCCGCCGCCGCCGCCGCCGCGCGAGCACCGAGGGCGGGAGCATGTCCGCAGGCAGGGCCAAGAAAGTGAAGATGGCCACCAAGTCCTGCCCGGAGTGCGACCAGCAGGTGAGAGCCCCTCACCCAGGGCAGGGCGCCCCGGCCGGCCGGGCGCACGCCGCCGCCCCTCGCCGCCGCCCCTCTGCCCCGGGGCGCTGCGGGCGCGCTCACCTGGGCATGCCGGGGGCGCGGGCATGAGGGCGGCTTGCAGAGCCCCCCCGGGCTGGCTTCGCGGCGCAAGCCCGCGCGGAATTACTCTAACATGCTGTTTTTATTGCAGGGGGTACTTAAAAGGTGCGTGCGCTTTACTTTTTGTTTTGTTTTGTTTTGTTGGAACGCCATTGTCTTGGAGTGCTGACAGTTGCAATTGCCTGGCAGGGGAAAGCGAGGACCGTAAAGCTTTAAATATAGGAGAGCAAATATGTGTGTGTTGGTGTTAGCGCAGGCTCTGTAGAGGTTTGCAGGACTGGGAGTAATTCCGAATAAAAGCATCCAGTGTGTGCTCTTGGAAGTGTTCTCTGAAAGAGCAGCGCTGGAAATAAAGAGACCACCCAGTTTGCAGTGTTAATACTTCCAGATGAGCAAGGTTATGGGCTAGCAGCACAGCCTTGGGATGATCTGCTCTAGTCAGGAGTAAGCCCCCTTGGGGTCTGCGGGGCTTGCTTTCAGATGCATGTGTGGGATTTCAGTTTCAGTAGCTGATCATTAGAATTTAAAATAACTTATGGCTTGATACGTTGTGCACTCTGTGTCTTGATAGTTACTGCCACAATCTCTAAATGCTGGGGATTTTTGCTAGGACTTTTTGTACTCCTAGCAATCAAGTTCAGATTTCCTTTCATTGCCTTAAAGAGATGTAGGTCAGCATTTGAGGTATTGCAAATGCACATAGCTCACCCTTGTCCAGTTTATCAGGCATTTGAGGTAGGGGAAATATATTGCTGTGAGCAAATCAGACTGCTTGTCTTCAGATGGAACTCCAGATATTTTGAACTATAGCTAAATTCAGCACAAAGAGCAGGGACTTATGGGTGTTATAGCCCAAATCCTCTGAAATCTGTCTGGCTATTCAATATACTTAAATGTGAAAGTCTTTGCTATCACTGAGAGTAAGTAATCTGTTTATTCTGTCTGATGTTTAACATAAAAAGCTTATTTACACTGATATCATACCTTTCTTTTCCTCTTGCAAGGAACCCAAAGTGGGTCTTGCATGGTGGTACACTTCCTCTCTGTTTTATCCTCACAGCAACCCTGTGAGGTAGGTTAGGCTGAGAGCCAGAGGATCCCAAAGCCACTCAGTGCGTTTCACGGCCAAATGGTGACTTGAATCCAGATCTCCTGGGTCCCTAATCCAGTGTTCCAACTACTGCAGCATGTTGGCTGTTTATTCACAGCAAAATATGTATTTCATAAGTTGTAATAATGTTGAAACTTTATTATACTGAGAACGCAAGGTATTCTTTTTCCTCTCGTTGCTCATCTATTATACTGTCATTTTCTCTTGTAGTTAATCTCACCCTTTTTGTTTGTGAGTCCTTACCATTCTTTTCTGTTTACAATAGTATATAAACAATGGTAGAAACTGCTTTTAGTGGTCACATTAAAAAAAAAATCCTTGAGCAGAGCTTCAGCCCTGGTTTTTGTATGTTCCATTTCTGCCTTTCATTTTCATCAGGGAGTTAAGAATGTTGTACCCAATTCTGTTCTGTTATTTCTTCCTTCCAACAACTGTGCAAACTAGGCTAGATTGAGAATCAGTAACTGATCAGTAACTGAAGCAAGGTCTCCCACATCTTACTTAACCATTGTTAATGGGATGGATACAATATTTAACATTTTTAAAACCAAGGGCCAGTACTGCTCAAATTCAGATCTGTTGGTTTTAGTAGTTTACTCACCGTGCTGAATGTTTTAAGTTAGTTTTGAAAAGCATGGATGTCTGCCTAAAGGATAATCTCTTTCTGATTATATCCCTACTGGAAAATCAGGCCCTCGGGTTTCCTTGCTAGACAAAGTGAATGTAGTGGATACTAAAATGAGAACCTTTTCAGTTTTGGCACCTCACTTGTGGAATGCCCTTTTTAGGGAAGCTCACCTAGAGGCAAATTATTTTCTTGGAACCAGCTGAAGATCTTGGTCCTCCAGGCTTTGATTTCTATTTTCTGTTGTTTTTAATACTGCTATTTTGAAACCTTTCTACTGCCTCTGCTTTTAATTTTAGTTTTTTGCTGTATTTTTAAAAAGGTTTTACATGTTTTAGTGTGCTGCATTTTATGGCTTTAGCTGAGAGAGCTCTTACTATTCACCATGTAGAAGTATGATACCTCCAGTGCTTTTGCCTCCACGTTTTATGTGGCAAGTGTGTTGTTGCATGCACACTGGTGCTAAACACTTCTACAGGAAATGGGTGAATGACTCATATGCACCTTCAAACACCTGTATGTGCATGTTTGGGGAAACTTGTCTCGATCGCATTTCCCGGATGGCTGTATGCTGTGTGTCACCCAAGTTTTATGTATCTGCTCTTGAATGCGCCTCTTCCATTTAATGCATGGTGCAGCTTTTATTTATCTGTTGCATTTTCTTTACATAACTTCTCAGCACTATGCACTCTAGAGTGTGTCCCATTTTTGGTTATTTCACCCAGCATGGATAAAGTTATTCTGGGGGGGGGGGGGCACAGAGTTGGTTTTGTCTTGGCTTGTGGTCCTCTGACATCTTGTTGCGTTTGTTCCCAATGAGGATCAGTTCAGAGTTTATCTTTCAAGGCTCCTGCATCAAAAATGGCTGTTCTGAGCTGAAGCTTGGAACTGCCTCTTGTGTTTGTGTCTTGATCCTTGTGAAATGAGGCCAGATCGCTTCCTCTTGCCTCCCGAAGCTGGCATTTTAAAAGAACTCCTTCTCTGTCATCTGCTCTTATTGCTCAAGAAGAGCCTGCCTTATACGCAGTGAATTTTGCATCTGCTGGTTCCTGCTTAAACTCCTCTTCCTTACATAGGCTATGTTGACTTTCATATTTTCAGGGGTGAATGTTTACTATTCCAGGCTTGGATTTATGATAAATGGTCTTGCGGAGTTGGCAGATGGCCTTGTATAGATCACTGCTCTTATGAGGGCTGCTGGCACACAGCTGCAAGAGTCGGAAAACTTAAAAAAAGAACTGTGTTTAATATTTAGCATTTGAAAATACCAGCTGGTCAACTTACTGCTTAGTCATTTCACAGTTGTAACTTTAAAATGTTTGGTACTTCCTGTGCTTTGTTAATAGCCTAATAAAGAGCTAGAAGCAAGGAACTTGTGTTTTGGGAAATGTAAAATGTATTTTGTGTTCCTACAGTAGTGAACTCTCTCTCTCTCTCTCTCTGTGTGTGTGTGTGTGTGCGCTTGCATACATAAGAAAGAGGGAAGGAAATGAAATCTTGATTGATTGAAGCCCCCTCCCACTATCAGCAACAATAATTAACCTTTTCTCCCCTCCCTCCTCTCATGATAGAAATATTCATTAAGTTGAAAGCATTGGGAATCCTAATGTTACATAAGCAAAATTCCATATGTTGACCCATAAGAAAAAGCCACCAAAGGGCAACATTTTTTATCAGGACCAAGCAAAACATCCTAAAATAGTGAGCAAACTTTTGAGGTCTGCAGAACTCTTTGTTAGACTGGATGTAAAGCAAAGCAGAATGACGGGGATGTGGGGAGAGAGAGAGAAATTGAAGCTATAATGTCTGTATGGATTGGTCTTAAGATGGACTGCATTGAGAGGTCATTGATGCATGGGTGGATTAAACTCTGCTTGGTGCTATGTAGGTTTCAGGTTACCCGAAAGCAGGCATCCAGAGGACAACTTAGTGCAATTCATTCCGCTACCTCTTTCTGGATTTCATGTCAAGACTGTTAGTAATGCAAACTTTTTGGCTTTGGCACTTTGCTAGCTTTTTTCTGAGCCCCTTCTGTTTTTCATCATGATGAATACTTCTAGAGTGTGTTAAAATTTACTCACTATGTTGTGCCATTTCATTTGGACCTGAAAAAGGGTATTTCCCTACTGTGGGATTGGTAAAAACCCTTAGGGTTTTAAAAGTATAATATTAGTATTAAGATAGATATTAATAATTGTCCCCCATAGTTATTTTCTTATTTCTCTACTTACGCCCTCATCCGGTTATATAACCTTTTTACACTTCATCAGAATTTCATTATAGTTACCAGAATAGACTAGCTTGTAGGTTATGGCGTACATTGTAAGCTGCCCAGAGAGCCTATGACTAGTGGGCAGGGGGCTTATAAACTGAAATAAATAAATGGCATGTGTCTGGTTGCTTCTTTATCTAAAATGGGCCACAAATGAGCCATGATTTTGAAGGGAATCTAGGAGAAAGAGGAAGAACAAATCCAGGTAAATAAAAGTTAATGTGACCTTTGTGGCACCATGTGATTAGCCTCCAGCTGGTAGCATCTGGGCTGCTACCTTATCTAAGGTTGATCCAAGGTAGAGCTACAATCTTTAAGGGCGCTTCGGAGAAAAAGGAAAAACAGATTGTATATATCTCAACAGATTGTAAAGTCAAAGGAGGATCCCATAAGGTTGACGGCAAGTCATTCCATAAGCATTTGAAATGTAGGCATGTCTTATATGTTGCCACTGCAGTTTTTAAAAAGAAATAGTAAGACAATCATTTTTGGCTCAATGAAATAATGAGAATGAAACTAGACTGGCAGTTTTGCCCAGGGAGAGAATTTCTTGTGCTACTTCCAAACATCGGTTAGAATGCTAAGTGTTTACATATGCTAAGGTATGGGGTGTAGGTTTGTGGGTTGTGCTAGTATTTTTCCTGTTACTGGAAACTTGTTTATTTTGTTTATAAAATGTCTGTATTTATCTTCAGTTTAAAAAATAGTGACATTTACAGCAAGGACAGGACACATGTTAAAATAACATTGTTCAAAGTGAACAACTATTTAAAAACATATTAAAAGCGTCCCACAAGAAGTTAAAAAGTTGGAGATTAAAGACCTGGAAGAATGTAAGGAGCTCTCGGTCTAATGACTCAAGGAAACCAATATAGAAACCAGTCAAGCCTCACCTGGGGGAGTTTCAGAAGTGGGGTGCCGCAGCTGAGAAGACACTACTGCAGTTGCTACATGCATAATCTCAGATAATGGTTAATAAAGGCATATGATGCTTTGGGTTCCAGTAACTAAGTAACACATGCTTTGGTGTTTTTTATCCTTTAGGGGAAGTTTAAACCATTGCGGGACAGGTTAACTTTCATCTCCCTGAGCAGAGGTATTACCTACCAACAGAACTTCTGTCTTATCACTTGTTGGCAAATTTGTTGGTCCTCATTCAGTGTATTACTTACTCCTGCCTCATCTGATGCAAGGAGAATATGATGAAAGAATGCTGAAAGTCATCTGTATATTTGACAGTGTTTAACCCTGGATGACACCCCACCGAAAGGCTTTCCTGAATAGATGGTGCAAGCATAAGGGAAAAAATGCAGTGCTGTGGGCCCCTGTAGCATAAAAGTCACGGGAAGTAACAGGCTCTCCAGCTCGGAGTAGAACTGCGAAATCATGGTGTGCTTCCAGTCTGGCCAACCTGCAGAAAAGGATGCCATGTTTGATAGTATCAAAAGTGTCTCAGTTGCAGGACAATGAACATCACATTTGCTCTGTCATTCTTGTATGACTCATCAGTCAGGGTCTGAAATTAGATTGAGCTGACTCCAGATTGGGTTGGGAGAGGCTAATAGGGCTGTTAGGTCCAGTCCTGCTCAGTGCAGGATTCTAAGCTAAAGTATAACTGGTTACCTGGATTTGTGACCAGAAAGAAATGTGACCTTCATATCTTTTTAACCGTGACATTTCACTCTTGTCTGGAAGTTGTTAGGCTCGTATCCCCAGTAAGTTCATTTTTATGTTGAGGCTAGGGTTCAGCATAGGTTTGACCTAAGTGGAAGTTTCCTTTTGATTTTTGTGTTAATGGATCCAGTACTAATCCTCAAGGCTGCACGTCCTAAACATTGCTTTAAATGAGAGTAGCTGCTGTGCAAAACAGAGAGTCTTGCTTCCAAACAGCCATGGCTTGGTCTGCATTGTTAGGAGCTTATATTTTTGATTTTGTACATTTAACCTTTGAGGTTGCTCCTTAATGCTTATAACAGTGCACACTGTTTTTGATGCTGACAAATTCAGCTGGTCATGAAATTCAACAACCCAAACTAAATAGCCGATGTTGGGGTCTTGGGTGATGACCAAAGAAAACCAAAACAGGAACACTTTTGTTGAGACATAACATTGGTATTGAGCTGGTGTTTTCTTTATCCTTAATCAGTAGGCATGTGGTTCTGTGCTTTGCAGGTTAATTTTTGCAAGCAGTTTATGCTGTTCTTAAGTGTCTTGAGGGCTTCAGATGATTTCTAGGTGCCTGGGTGGAAACTTTTGGGGTACTTATTAAAGTGGGAAGTGTCTTCATCTCTTGGTGTTTTCCCTGGCATAAATACATCGGCTTCATCAGAGAACATGTACAAATCAGAAAATTTTAACATGTAATAACTGGTTTGACTCCTCCAATGCATGTACAAAACACTTTGCTACTCCAGCAGAGGTTTTTCTTGTCCTGTCGCTTTGTTTCTCTGACAGAAATAACGGAGGCCCATTGTCTTCCTCTTTTAACTTCCTCATGTTTCCCCACCACTTCTTCTGACTTCTTTCTTAGTAGAGAATATTTATAAAGGAAAAAAAGACAATGCCTTCAGTGTTCGAGAACTAGCAACTCTCCCTCTGGACACACCCTAGGTAATTGGGGTCAAATAGACCTCTACTGAGTTGCAACATTTTAAGGCCCAGTGTTCTATATTGGACTCCAATTTAATGTCAACAATAAAATTAATAAGATGTTTTCTTGGCAAATAATGCTCCAAATCCGACTTCAGGCATGGCTGGATTAAAACAACCCTATACGCATCTATTCAAAAGCAAGTTTTGTTGAGTTTAGTAGGACTTCCGCCCAGGTAATCGGTCGTAACCTCAGTCATGGTAAGAATTGACGCAGCCAGGTATGAATGCACAAATACCATTGTTTAAACACAGTCATATCCAAGAAATGCAGATGAAGCCAAGTGTTAGTGTGTACCCACACCGCAAAACATGTAGAGGGTTGTTCACACACAGGAACCTCCTGAAACATCGCAACATATGTACAGTATTTTGTTCCATTAAGGCCTGATACTAGTCACACTGCTAAACTGTAGCACAGACTAGGCTATCATCAAAAGTAGCAAGCCGTGGAATGTGACCTAAGGAGTTGCTGAATACTTCTGTTTTCCTAGAAACGGTAGCATAGATTATGGTTGACTAAGCATTGGCATTTCCAATGGAGGGAGTCTTTTGCATGCAAACCCAGATTTGTGTGTGAGCAAAGGAATTTACTGCTTTTTGAATAGCAGCTCTGTGCTGCCCCAGAAGCTCTTTCTGAAATACCTCTTCCTGTGTGTTTCTCCGGCTGCAGAATTCCCAGTTTCTGCTTTTGCAGGGGGAAAGGCAGCAATAAATGTTACAATAGGGATGTTCTATAATAATGGCTCTCTAAACCTTTTGGCTAAATATAAATATATATGTGTGCAGATAGGATTTCTAATGCAAATTGCTTTTGGGTCTTGGTCCAGTTAATCACCTTCAGATCCATAATGAATGAGCTGCATTGTGAGTAACATGATTTTGGCAGATAAGCCAAATCTGCTGTTGGCCACACATAAACAATGCATCTGTGTAAAGTGTTGCACAGGAAGTAGAGCTCTGGGCTCTAGCACCAGCAAACTCAGTAGAATGCACACTCGGTAGAATTTCCCCTCCTTCAAATGAATGTTGAATAGCATTTGTCCTGCCAGCACTGGCTCATGAACTGAAGCTTCTTTTCATTAGCTACAACTCCGTTCTTGTGGCTTATGCTAGCATTGCTAAATATGGATTTAAAGCTAGCTGCAGTTACAGTGCTGAGAGTTCTGAGAACTGCCAACAGGTTTGCAACATGGTTGCGGCTCCTTATTTAATCAGTGCATAACGGGTCAAAATAATAGCAGTGGTTACTGTTTCTACTTCATGCTATCTGCATAGGCTGCCTCATCACACAGCTGATGATAAGAATATTAAAAATCAACATGGGTTGCACAGATGACGTGGAGTGTGATTACGTACTTGTTGACTGGGAAGCAAGTCCCATTCAGCTTGTTCGGACTTACTCCCAAGTAAGTGGTCACAGGGTTTCAGCTGCAATCTCCGGCTTTCAAGGCAATCACCAAGTAGTTAAACAGTAGCTGGCACTGTGGAATCAGTGGTGTAGTGGAACCAAAGATCACAGGGATCTTGATTAGAAGCAAGGATGTTGTTGGCCATTCCTCCATCCATGGACTCTCTCTGACGTTTGCTGCTATTCTCACAATAATTGGGAGGGAACTGGACTTTCCAAGCAACGGGAGACAGCTGTGAGCGTTACCTGTTGTACCACAATGTATTTTGGAGTGACTTGATCTTGAATGGGCATAACATAACATATATGCATAACAAAATGCATGTATAATATATAATGACAAATATATCAGCACAGCTGGCCAAATTTTGGGGTGTTCCTTGGGGTTTATGGGGACTGGAGTGATGAGTGCCTGAACTACAGAACTTAGCACAGGGTAAAATTTCCTTAATTGTGTGTATGTGGGTGAATGTGTAAGTGTTCTCATATATCCGCAGACCACCCACCCCCAGCTTCTCATTTAAAAAAAAAAAAAGAGAAATTTTATTGGGAAGGACTCTAATCCAGTTTCCCCCCTCCTTTTTTGTGTGTTTTTCTTTTAATGTAGAGGGATTTTGCTGCCCTGTGAGGGGAGGAAAGTGTGCAGAAATGCCACACATACTTGTGTGTGAAGAAGGCCAGTTTTATCACATAATCTGAGGTCTGTGTAGACCAGGCATGTGTTTTCCATTTTGCGCTGCTTTCTCATGGGATACTGTGTTCACTGCCTGACAAAACATCCTTGGCTCACTTTTTATTTTGTTTTTTTGGTATCTCTTTCAGGTTCCTGTTGCATGCAAATCCTGTCCATGTGGATATATATTTATTAGTCGAAAACTCTTGCATGCTAAGCGTTCTGAAAGACTTCCATCCTCCGCAGGTATTCCTTTACCTCCAGATTGTAATGAAGGTTGCTTTCTCCCTTTTAGGAGTGCAGGGGGTGCTCTCCAGGTGTGTTAGACTACAATTCCCAGTTTCTCTCTAGGAGCTCCCCTCCCCCCAATATCCTTGAGGACAATGTCCTGCCACTGCCTTCCTTAAAAAAAAAGTGTTGAGGTGGCTGTACATGTGCAATATCATTTTAAGAATTTGTTTAAGCCAGGTATGGATAGTTGGTAGATCAGTAGTTTCTGATCAATAAATCAGCCCTCCTAGTTGAACAAAGTGACTCTTCTCCTCTGCTCAGATGAAGAAGCCATAGAAATCTCCCAGAGTGGATTTTCCTGTGTTTTATTTTTTTTTCTTTCTTGGTTTTGGCTGTCTGGAGATTCTTCTAGGTGGTTGTCCTTTTTCTTTTTTAGAATCTGTTTGGGTTATTACAGCAACTTTGGGGAAATGGAAGGTTCTTTAATGGAAAGGAGGGAAATGTTTTAGAGAGAATTTTATTTTGGGACCAGTCTGTTTTGTGCATGGTAGGGGGTGGGGATGGAATAAAATCTCCAGTCAGAGAACCATCTCTTACAACGTGCACTTAAATAATTACGATGTTGATAATGTGTTGAAACAGAAAGTAGAAGTGAGGCTAAGAGAAGACGGACAGAGAGAGTCAGAAGAGAGAAGATAAACTCTGTGGTAAATAAAGACTTAGAAAATAGGAGAAGATCCAGATCCAACAGCCATTCGGATCACAACAGAAGAGGACGAGGGAGACCAAAGACTGCCTCAGCCAAAAAGCATGAAGAAGAGAGAGGTATACAAAATACAGCTGGTTTTAGTATAATGCAGAGTCTGCAAGCTTGGAAGAATCTCTGTCTCTCTCTCTCTCTCTCTCTCTCTCTCTGTCTCTCTCTCTCTGTCTCTCTCTCTCTCTCATATTCTGTGTGTGTGTGTGTGCACGTGTGTGATTCCTCCAGCCTAAGCATGAAAACAGGACCTCCATTTTTCTTTTGTGATTATCTTCTTGCCCTGGTCAGACTGACTGGAGGAGTATAGTGATAGGAAAAGGCAAATTTAATTTCTCTGAGGAAACTAGAACTGCTTTTATAAGCTATATTTAAAGAACTAGCTTGGAAAAATTGACTGATCTTTAAGATCTGTTTCTGAGACTCTTGTTTTGACTGTGCAGTGTTGGAGGTTTGAGTGTATGGTGAATGAAATAGGGCAAACCCTTAAGCTGTACAGCTTGTACAGTTTCAGGCCTGAATGGGAGAGAAGGGGCATTGTCCCCAACCTTGTCCAGAGGCACAGCACAAATGTGGGGCAGCACAGGATCTGAGCGATGACTTTCCTAATATCAGGGCCAGACAAAAATTGTGAGCACTGATTTTTAAACTTGAACAGTACAGTCATTATAAAATCAGGACATCCCCCGTTATCTGAAACTGGACTTTGAGAATATTTGTGGTCTGTTCTGTGAGCTGCATATTTTTTTAAAAAACTGTTAAGCAAAGTTCAGATCCAGTATTTTAAAGCTTTTTACTCCAGAGTGAGTTTTTGAGTGCGCTCTCTCTCTCTCTCTCGTGCACACGCCCCCCCAAACCAGACCTCCTAGTTTTTCTTTGTGCTTGTATACTTGTCTGAACATTTCAAGGTTCCTTCCAGTTTGCTATATATTTGTTACATATTAACAGTTCTTAATGGTAAAAGCCTCAATTTTAATAGAAAATATATTTGTAAATAAAATTAAGTTTTGTTTGTCTGTATGAAAGAAGGTCGTATATCTCTAGAAAGGACCCTAGATCATTGTTGCTAATTACCATTTGACTTTGATTCTTTTATAGCAGGAATGCCAAGTCCTTTCAGCCCAAGGGCCCAGTGATGGGTGGGACCAAAGGCAGAGCCCCAAAATAGCATTTCTGTGTACTAGCAAATTAGATCATGTATAATCTTCATCACAAACCTAAACAGCCAAAGGCACAGCTGAATGGCGATGGAGGATCTCAGAGGGATGATGTAGCGTCAAACCTAACTAGTCTCTATGGATGCATGACTGTTTTTGGGATAGTCTTACTCAGACTGATAAGGATAATGTATTGTGTTATGGAACAACCGGTGCTTGTGCCGATAAAGACCACATCCTTTATACATTCTGTCTCAAATGGCAAGCAAATAGGTCATCTTTGTGTCATTCAGAAACCACTTATTAAAACATCTTGGATATCTTTAGATTTTTTTTTCAACCAGCAGTCCCTTGGAACATAACCTAGTTGTTCAGTTTTAGGAAATCAGCTTTCCTCTTCTGCCGAAATCATGTAATGAGGTCACACCACATGACTTCCGAAAGAAAGTGCAGGCAAAGAGAATGAGGTGAAAAGGCAAGTGTCCCTTAAAGAAAACTTGGGACAACATGGAGAAGGCAAAGGAGCAAAATGGCGTCAACCTCCTGTCTGCCATTTCATTGGTTTTGGAACTGAAACGCAGCCACTGTGGAGATGTGGCGGAAGCAGGGTTGCTCCTGCAGGGAGCAAAAGTTGGGTGGGGAAACCTGTCCTTGGAAGGGAGAGCAGTGGCGCCTCTTTGCTGTATCCAGGCCTCGGGACGCTCTCTACGGGAGCGTTTGTCTCGTGTCCCACTTGCAGGGTTCCAGTGGGCGTCCGATTGGTGTGCAGAAAGATGCTGGGCTCAATGGGCATGTGGTCCAATCTAACAGTGCCTTCGTTTTCTTCGGCTCATCGCTTGGGCAAGATGGAACTGATCCAGCAGGGCTATTGTGTGTTATGTCCACATGACCTGTTCCCCACCATCTTTCTGCTTTAAAAGGAACTAAAATGTTTATGTGGTGCCCTTTCTTCTTCTACAGAAAAACAAGACAAAGAAGTTGACATGTACGCAAACCTGTCTGATGAAAAGGCCTTTGTATTCTCTGTGGCCTTGGCAGAGATAAACAGAAAAATTATCAACCAGAGACTTATTCTTTGATTAACTGGGTGGGACCTTTGCATGCCATGCTATTTAAGCCAGGTAGTGGATTTTGAACGTTCGGAGGCCTTTCAAGTGGCAGTTCTAGCCACCTGTGTCAAAGAAGACCAGATGTTTTGACTGGCTGAATCCTCTGCCACTGTTGCTGTTTTTGGAGCCTGCTGACTCTTTGTTACTGTTAATTGTCAAGAAGCAAAATGACCAACGCTTTGCTTTTGGGGAGGAAACAAATCAAAAGCAAAAAATCTTTATTCCTGCAAAGACCGCTTCTCGAAGAACTCCAGTTTTTGAAAACAAAACACACCACACTGTTTCTTTGGACGTTTCTGCAATGAAAATGCAATATTTTAATTTAAATGTCTTTCACAACATAGATTCCAGATTTTTCAGCTATCTTGAAGCTTTTATGTGTGTATATAAGTTAACCTAACATTTTAATAAATGGATATTCTGTTACTTTGTTGCAGTCTGCTCATTGCAAAACGCGACAGAATGAGAGGGGAGGTGGAGAGGGTTCTTTTTACACTTTTGACTTAAGTGTTGGTATATATGCTGTTCTAGAGTCAATAAATATATAACAAAGACTGTGGTCCTACATGCACTTAAAAGAGCATAAATCCTGTTGAACTCAATAAGATCTGCTCCCAGGGAAGCGTACAGGGTGCTTGCAGTACCACATGTGAGCAATAAAACGAAGCAACAGTCTTTTCACAGAAGCACGACTGTACTTGGCCTTAAAGAAAGGTTAATGGATCAATCAAACTAACTGTGATGTGAATATATATGCTTCTGCATTGTGAACAAAGGGAAAGAAAAGAAAAAACATATATTCGGTTTTTGGTGAGGCTTACGGTGGCCTCTGTATACATCAGTTTTCTGTAACCTGGCTCCTTCCAGATACTTGGATAGCTGGAGGTCATCAGGGTGAGAAGGCTGACGTAGGTTGTCTGAAGAGCCATGCCCTATTCCATGTAAGTGAATGGAAGATTTATTTTCTAAGATGACATTTTGTTTTCCAAACTTACTGTAAGTTCTTGTACTTGAAATAATGGGTTCAGTCCAAACTTAGTCACACTCAGAGCAGATAAAAAGCTGATATAATCAATGGGAGTTGAGTTAGCCATGACTTAACATTCCAGTTATTTCAGTGGATCTACTCTTAAATTGGTCATGACTAAATTAATTTCAGTAGGTCTACTCTAAGCACAATCCTATTCCTGTTGCGAAAGATTACTCTTGACATTTAGGATTATTTTCTTTCTAAACTTGCATAGGATTATACACTAAATCTGAATCCATTCTGTTTACAAAGTTGCCAGATTAAGTGGGAATATCAGTTTGGGCTATTAACATTTTTAATCAATTTAACTGATAATTTTATTGGATAAAATGCTTATTTCATTCAGAGGAGCATTGAAAATGCAGTGGCACACTTAATATGTAATGGTAACTTGCTTACTGGGACCCTAACAGTGGGCAAGCACAGACCTTGTGCAAGGAAGATGAAGGTAGCAAGTGGTGGGAAATGCACCAGCCTGGAATTCTGCAAAACTCAAGTCGAGGAGATGACACTGGAGTGGATGGGTGAAGAGTTTGATTCGACATTTGACATGTTCCTGTGGGTGGTACAGTGAACTGATGGAAGCAGCCCATGTAAGCGGTGTGTGCAGTAGATGTGGGGATGAATGAAACATGCATTTTGTACGTCAGACTCGCATTGGGTAACAGATCCGAAGGTTCACATTTCAATGCAGACTTGCCAACTTCATGCTTTTGAACCAACTAGAAAGCAGTGATCCTTCAAAATTTGGAGAATTTAATTTTGCACTAGAATTTTCTAGTAGAAATAGTACATGTGGATATGGATACTATTATTAGTGAAAAGAACGTTCAACAATGTATTAGAAAATGGTTTGCAAAACTATACTAAACAAGGTTGTGTCAAAAAAGGATGTGAATTCATATGGATTCACTAAAATACATATGAATTTCACTCTGAGTGAAAAAAATCCTCAAAGTTTGAGAAGAGCAGAATTTAAAATTGGAAAAACTGGAGCTGAACAAAACTGAAATTGACCAGTTTGTCCATCCTTAGCCAGTCCTGTTCTAGTTTTGGGGTAATCCACCATCAGGCGTCCTCAAACTTTTTCAACGGGGGCAGTTGAAAGGCAGCAGTGGCGGGTGTGGGCACGAGCGTGGGGAGTCCAAAACCTCAGAGGTGGGCCAGATAAATGTGCATGGTGGGCCAGATCCAGCCCACAGGCCGTAGTTTGAGCACCATGCCCTTCATCCTCAAAAGGAGGATAATTTCTTGTTACCTATTCAGCCTGCCCACTGACCAATGTTCTCAGGGTGGATTACAAACAGCATCAAGAAGAAAACGAGTAATCAAGGTGAGTGAAGTGTATTTCTATCCTTGCGATGCAGACCTGTGACAGGTCAACAGGTTTAGTCGTGTCAGGGACTTGGGTCACATGTAACAACTACTAATTGGTTGTTGGGAGTAAATGGTAAGACTGCCTCCCGTTCACTCACACTTCCGTGTTTGTCAGTGTTTGCTCTTGGGTTGCCCACCATGAATTGCAGGATGGAAACTGGTTTGTCCAGGCTTCAGGCATGCGCACCACAATTCTTTCGAGTTGTTTGCATAAGTGGAAATAAAGTGGCAAGCAGGCAGGAGGCAGTGCGCTTTGTAATGCCCGTGCAGCCTTGACTAGCTGGGCTTTTAATGCGTAATTGGCCATGATGTGCAAACTGGGTATGTGACTTCAAATGCAAAATGCCTTATAAAATTTCCCTGCCTTGGTGGGAAAACGAAACCTCTGTTAGGGGTTGGGGAACCTGTTGCTTCCACATGTTGGACTTACGGGCTAAAGTTCATTGGAACCCCTCTATCTAGAGGGTTATTGATTACCCACTTCTGCTTTATGTGAATCGAAGGGGAACAAGGTCGCAATGACGCACAGATGGATTTACTGTTGCAAAAAAGTGCTTTTCCCTGTCAGAAGCCCTTGCATAATCTATAACTTGCATAATCTATAACTGACTAATTGAACTGAGCAATTCAGTCTCCAAGTGTTAGAAGCTCACATGTAATGGAACCCAGCATAATTGCCCTGCCGTTTACTAGAAAAAGCAAAACTGATTCCAAGGTCTGTTATGTCTCCCCTCCCCATTAGCAATTCTATTTTGTTGTCTTGTTTCAGTTTTTAACATGGAAAGCCATGATGTTCTGCTAGGAAATTTTTAGAGAGGGAGTTTCAATGTGACAAGGCCATGCACTTTCGTATATTTGAAAACTAAAACTAGCAGTCATTTCCTCATAACTGTCTTTCTTCACTTCAAGAACATGCAATTTGTGCTGACAAGGAAGTGAGGGAAAAGGCAGCAGTACAGTTTGGAAATTTAAGGGAAATGTGATATTACAAGGTTCTCTTGAAGGTTTTCCAAAATTCAGAAGTGTGAAAATTTAGTACACCCTTAAATAACGGTGGTTATTTTATTTTTTATTTTTTATTTTTTATTTCCCTGTTCACAAGAGCCCCTGTGTTTCCAGACAGTGGTCACAAAATGCATTTTCGTGCCTAATAGGAGTCCATCAAAAACTGATGAGGCTCAGAAATATTTGTATGACCTAGCATTGAGAAGCACATGGTTAAGCAGCCTAGGAATAGCATTATAGAGCAATACCACCTCCCTGGGTTTGCCTACTGGAGTTTCGGCTACAAAAGACCTGCACTTTTAGAAGCAAGTTGTCTATTCAGGTTGGAAAAGCGTTAAAATGTGGGATGCTTTGGGGTAATGGGCCACCTGCTGGCGATTCCTGATAAAGCTAGTGAGCTTTTTTTTTGAAATGCTTGGCTTTTCTGAACAGGCAAGAAGCCTTTCTAGCAGGGAATATTCTTGTGACTGAATAATAAAACAAGTGCCTTGAAGAATTATATAATAAAGAGGAGCAGAAGCTGCACTAAATGCTGCCAGTTGTATGGAGAAAAGAGTTCTGATTTTCAGAATGTTGTTCTTTCCAATTTTAAAAATAAGGAAATATTTATTTGGTAAACATAAATCCTGCTTTTCAGCAGTGCTTTCAGGACAGGATCTTCCTAGCTCCCCTAGGAAGAAACTGGGGGGGGGGGGGGATCTCCTAGAGTCAAGGAAGCTGCTGCCTCTGATTTTGAATGTGATTTAAAGTCACCTTTGCCTTCACCAAAAATTCCCTGAGCATTCTTTGAGCAATGCTTGTAATTTAGAACAGAAGAGGGTGATCTGGTATCCCAGATGTGCTGAGCTACAGATCCCATAATATACAACCATTGGCAAGACTGAGGATTATGGGCACTGTAGTTCAGAATGTCTGAAATCAGGTAGTCTTGTTCTGTGGTCTATTTTCCTGCCTTCACCTTCCTATGCAGTATTTTTCCTCCTAAAATTAATTGTGATTCCCTGTGCTTTTAATTCTTTATACCCTTTATGGAGAACTGCATGTGACACCTTTAAAGCTGGGATCATGTGTTTGAGCTTTGCCCACTGGACTCTTTCTTACAAGAATGAGAGAGGAAATTAAGAAAAATGAAAACCTTCAATTATGTTGCAGGCTGAGAAGCGCATGTTCTCCCTGCCTCTCCCCCGCCCCCCCCCATTAATACTGTAGACTTGAACCCCGTTGAAAACCTTGGACAAGCACTGCAAGATGTATTACCACTGTATTTTCTGGTCTGTGATCAGCAGAAATCGAAATGTTCTTTGAATATAATTTGCTGCAAACTTACTTGTGTCAGAATCCGGAAATCTCAATTTGAGAAGAGGGAATAAAACTCGGGTTTGTGGGAAAGATCAAGTGTCCAGACCATCTAGGCTTTATTGTGTTAACCCAGGGTTCCCACAGTACTCATGATAATGCATGCATTACCGGGCAGGCAGAGCTGAACTCTGCTGTGCAGCTTCAATACCATTACAGAGTTTTTATGCACTCCCAGGTACAGGGCAATTGATGACAGAATGCAGAGATTACAATAAGATTCTGAGGTCGTCACATACAGAACAGATAAAGGAATGTCAGTCAATCATACGGTAACAATGAGATTACAATATTTCTAATTGCCTGTATTGACACTTTAGTTCAATAGCTTGAACCCATCTCCAGGTCTGCTTAGACATGTAAATTCAAGCTACTGAGAAACTATGCATGATAAGCTCAAGACTCTTATCTAGACTCTAGACATTCTGAATTGGAGCCTCTGGGCTATCAAAAGATAATTCCTTGTAAACTGAATTCCAACAATGACTATTTACAATGTATATTTGGACTGAATGGGCTGTCTACTGTAGTTTACAGCTAAAGGTGAGAGAAAGGAGCGGGGGATGAAGGCCATTTTAAACAGTGACAGCTTGGTTTGAGGAGAACAGGATTTGATCCCACAATGCAAAAGGACACAGAAGTAATGCTTTCCAGGCAG